AAGGCTAAAGTTAAAATCTTGTAATGGAAGTTGATCTCACTTAAAAGCTTCCTGTAAAATATATGCTTCATACCATATCCATTTCTTCATATAAGTAATTCACACAGACTTGCTGATGTGGTTTTTGACACAGCATGATGTGACCTCATAAGTCTGATATATGACATTGGGGTCTAGAGGTGTGAATTGGTTTGAACCCACAAGGAAAACATGCCAGGACATATAAGTGCAATCCAGTGTAATGAGGAATTCCTCAAGTCCCAATGTAGTAAGACCAATTAAACGTGCTGCAGATAACCCCTACTCCCAGCAACACCCCAATCAGACATGGTTTGTTCCAATCTGAAATATATGGATTCTGTAATTATCTTTCAAGCCAGTTATCTTCCTGATCCTGTGTACAAAATTCTTTTCAAAAGAGTGTTCAAAAGACTGTTGAGTCTTGACTTGAAGAGTGTCTCTTTTCCTTCAGGTGGAGGAAAACCACTGAGTCTTGACCTGAGGAGAGTCTCTTCTCTTCAGGTGTAGGTAGACTGCTGAGTCTTGAACTGAAGATTGTCTCTTCTCCTTCAGGTCAAGATGGACCACTTAATTTTGACCTGAGTAGTGACCTTTGTCATTTAGGTGGAGGTAGACTGACAAGTCTTGACCTGAGGAGTACCTCTTCTCCTTCAGGTATAGGTAGACCCCTAAGTCTTGACCTGAGTAGTGTCACTTCTGTATCAGGTGTAGGTACCCTGACAAGTCTTGACCTGAGAAGTGTCTCTTCTCCTTCAGGTATAGGTAGACCCCTAAGTCTTGACCTGAGTAGTGTCACTTCTGTATCAGGTGTAGGTACCCTGACAAGTCTTGACCTGAGAAGTGTCTCTTCTCTATCAGGTGTAGGTGGCCTGTTGAGTATCCTAAGCTCGAGGTAGACCACTGAGTCAGAGTGGTCTTTCAGTGTGGGTTAAGTGAGGTTTTATATGGGTATACCACTGAGGCTTGACTTATACAAATGGTCCTGCATAGTAACCTAGCTAGCTAGAAAATGTAGATGGAATTAGATGTAGATGCTAAGGATGGAATTCTGATTGTTATGGTATATTTTGAAATGTTTGCTCACTGTTTATCATTAACAATATAACACTGCAGATCAACACTCTACTGAAATACTACTTGTGTATAGTTGTGTCATGCATATTCATATATATTTGGAATTTCTTCTGAGCGTAAAGGTTTAAAGATATTCCTAGGCCATTTTAGCAATCTATTGGGCATTACGAGCAAATTAAACATGTATTATTCAGCAAATGTTATTTTAATGGCTAAAATGTACAAGGTTTTGTAAGTTTCTCTTCCTTCTTTTGATAGTTAACCAAAGATGAGAGGAGTGACAATGAAGAAGACGAAGACGATGAAGGGGAGAACAGCACATCCGAGGACCATGATGGACATCCGAAAGTCACCAATGGCTGTGGAGCCAACCATCACTAACCAACCGGACACTTCTGCAGTTTCTCCTGTTGTTGATGACTGAAGGAACCTAATGAAGTTTTTTTTTTTTCTTTTTTTTTTAGTTTTTATTTTTTGGATGAAGACCTAGACTCCTATGGTGTTCAGCCTCAATTGGCTTCAGACTATGAGAGACACTTTTGATTTATTACAACCATGAAAGTGCCAGAGACTTGACCAGAAACACACTTGTATCTGTCGGCAATACAAACCCAAACAAGTGCTTGTTTCCTTTTCCTTAGTGCCAATAGAGACTGATTGCCTTGGCTCCTCCGTTGTGGCCACACTCTCTATATGAACCACAAACCAACCAAGAAGAAAAAGATCCCAAAAGGAAAAATTTTCCATCGTGCTTAATCTGATCCTTATTGTTCATTGGAACACAATACTACAGAGTGACCTGGATGCTGTTGAGGCTCCTCTGCTGTTTCTCATCAGTGAGATGAAATCATACTATTGTTTTTTACCTTGCTTGAAGACACTATAGGAAAAAAAAATCCTAATCCCATGATGTGAGGTCCAGATCTTGTATTGAAAAGTTGCATTCTAGAAAAAAGCGTTACACTGAATGTAGTCCCCCAGCCAAGACAAGTTTGGTGTTCAAAGTTTGCTTGTTCAGCTTCATGGAGGAGAAATAAGGCTAATGTTGCTAACAAGTAAGTGAGAGAGTGCAGGAGAGAGCCAAGAACAAATGAATGCAAATGGAGAACAAGTAGAAGTAATTGTGATTTTTGTTGACTTGAACTATATACTTGTAGTTGTTTTTTTTTAATGTTTATGTTAAATATATTCCAATACATGTGTGCTTTGACATTTGACAAAAATGGTCAGAAGAAAGATTTTATCATTGAAAGTTGACTATAAAGTATTTTGTTTTAATAAAAACATGTTTTATCAAAGAAATTGTTAGGTGATTAATCTTATCTCAGACTTACTTGATGTAAAAGCAAGCGGTTTAACACAGATAAAAGCCATGTGATGTAGTCAAGAATATAATCAACAATCACTTGGTGATGAGCCTTCCTGACTGATTTCGGTGCCTTGCCTGCAGGCAGCCTAGTATTAAATTTTTAATTCATTAATTTATTTATCTTCATAACTGCTTTATCCTGGTTGGGGTCACTGTATGGGAGGAAATGTATTAGGGATAATCAGGATTAAAAGTTTAGGAGGTAACCCATGAGAACATGGAGACACTCCATACAGACAATAACCCAAACTCAGGACTCAGGAGCTATGAGGCAGCAACACTGCATTAAAAGTGAGACACTGTGCTGCCCATTCAATGTTTCAGTACATATGATTTATAATTGGGGCAGTGGCAGTGGTTAAGGTTCAGTGACAGCGGTTGGAAGAGTGAGTTTAAATTTCAATACAGGCAAAAAGCCACTGCTGGGCCCTTGAACAAAACCCGCAAACCTCAACTGCTCAGCTGTATTATTGGATTGGGTTCTGTCCCACTTGTAGGTCCCTTCAGATAAAGGCATCTAGCATATGCATAAATGGAGAAAAAAAAATCAGACCATGAAGTATGTCAGTTGACCTCTAGAGGGAGCAATTCACCACAAAAACTGTAATATCAAGGGGAAGGGAGACTGCTTCTGTATCTGTTCTCAGGTTAAGGTTCCACCAAAAATCTCCCTTCTCTTAGTGGAAGATAAGCTGTTTGGCCTATTCAGAAACTGTTTTGTCTGGAGCTTGGACCTCTTTTGGTGTCCTTCATCAGCACCAGCATCATCAACACTTGAAAAAGAGAAGAGAGTGGAGAGGAAAAATAAAAAAAGAGAAAGATCCAAGGACTATGATGAACACCAGAAAGTCACCAATGGCTGTGGAGGAAATTGTGGAGCAAAACATCACTAATAGTTTAAGACGCTTCACTGGTTCATTGTTGACAACTAAAAAGTTTTTGCATTCTCCATTTTGATGGCTAGATAGGCTTAGATGTCAGATCAAGACCTCCAAAGAGTTTTACTGTGCATGATGCCCTACCATAATCATGACGCCTTTGAGGTTAGTTATAAGAAGTTCCCTTGAATGGTGACATATTTTTACTCTTGTCCATGCAAACTCATTTTCAAATTAGGTTGCGATGTGTCTGTCTGCCAGACCTTCTGTGAGTGTGTTACATGGACAGGCCTCTTATTTACTGTGATTCAGACTATCACTGTGGCAGCTGAACTCTCAAGCTGGACACTTCTGCCAAGCTGCTCTCTTATAATGGCCAGCTCAGTCATGCCAGCTGCTTTGCTGGCTCTCAGAGGTAGCTAAAGGTCTCCTTGGCAGCTGTGCCAATTAAAAAAGAAAACAGGACTAATCCCTCCCTGACCCACTCTAAAGTCAGCTGGGTTTTTTTTTCTCAGATCCACCACCAGGTTCCCAATCAGACCCTACAAAATGATGTTCCCCACAGAACTGATCTCGGAAGGACTCGTAAAATGTAGAAGCTAAGAGGTGTTTTGTAATTTCTGATGGGTTAAACAACTTAACTGATGGCACACACAACTGATGTGTCAGTGTTTCAGGCTTGCAATTCCCAGCATTGTCCAAAATCACATCCCTAACACTTTTCACGTTTTAAATCCTATGAAAATGTTCAGTTACACCTCAAGGTTCCTAGTGCACAGCATCAGTTCAGCTAAAAAAAACAGTTAGTCAGGGTCAAAGGTGAAGTTCAGATTGTTGGGCCCCACTGCTTATAAGGCTTAATAATTCAAAATGCTGGTTCTGTTGGCAATAATGTCCTGTTGTGTTTGATTTATTTTTGTATTGTTTTTGCTTCCTGACAGATTCAAACAACGTCATAAAAATTAGCTGATATGTTGAATCAGGTGTGTTACACTATCAATAAACGTGATAAAACGGTCACCAGGTCAAAACAAAGAATGACGGCATGTTATGTATAACTGCCTATTTCACCGCCTCTGTATTTAACTGAACCTCCTCAAAAGCCTCAAATAGCAATGCTCTCATGCCTTTGTGGTTTTACAGCCTTGTTCTTTTGATTTTACTCTCGTTGAAGCTATAATCTGCATGTCTGCATGTGAACGCAGAATTCTTTGGAGTGGGGTCAGAGAGGGATTAGTCCTGTTTTGAGTGGCTTTGATTTCTCTTTTTTTATTCACTTGCACAGCTGCCAAGGAGACCTGGCAGCTGCTGTGACTGAGCTGGCCATGATAAGAGAGCAGCTTGGCAGAACTGCCCAGGTTGAGAGTACTCGATAGCTAGTGATTTGACATGACTTGACAGATGAGCCATGGCAAGTAGATGCTGCTGTCCATTCATGTTAATGTTTTTTTTTTTTTAAATATAGTGTAATAGTAATGTAGTATTAATATCAGCTTACTTCTTGTGTTTTTGTCTTCTCTTACCTCAAGAGTTCAACTTCATCACCAATAGCTGGAAAAATACATGCATACTAAAAACAGATATATAGTCTTATACAGTATATGTTCCTATATTTGACATTTACCTTATATCCAAATTACTTACATGTCTATATGAGGTCCCTGGAGGACTAGTGGTCAGGCCTCGGCGAACTCAACGCTATGGCCTGGGTTCGATTCCTGGCCAGGGAACCAACCCCAGCCACTAGGGCTGTACAAGACAGTGCACTCCCAGTACCAGGTATAAGCCCGGATAAAATCGGGGATAAAATCGGCTGTGGCGACTCCAAACGGGATCAGCCAAAAGAACAACAACTCACAAGTCTATATGATCACGAAGGTACACATTCATCATGCAAATAAGTATGTCTCTTTCTCATGAAAGCAACATTGTCTAAATATAGCAGGGTAACTGAGAGTGCAAGTGGTGTACCTATGGCAGCCTTTTTCCATTGATTGACAGGTAAAGGGGGTGTGACAATCTGTGCAGAGCAACAGACAGGCTACATATAGATGCATTTCAACCATTTAAGTCATATGTTGTGTATATTTGGACAAATGATTGACACTGATGATCTTGTATATGCAGCACATTGTACAGTTTTTGCCCATTGAAAAGATTTAGATAAACATCACTGCCAATCATATGTCTACATATATGCAACATATGACTGAAGTGATAGAAATCTATCTACTTGTAGCCCATCGGTTGCTCTGCACAGTTTGTCAGACCACCTCTACCTGTAATTTGGGAAAAACAAAACAAAACAAAACAAAACAAAAAAACACTACAACAACCATAGGACAACCACTGACCATATTATTTGGGTGTTGGACTATTCCCAACATTGTCATGTAAATACAGGTGTGTTTATCAAGTATTGTTTTATTATGCCTTATATGTGAGTGACACGTTGACATATCAATCAATGCTATACACCACATTTATTTGAAAATAATCATTAATTTTAAGTGTTTGGCATTTATAAATATAAAGGGATTCATTTATAAATATAATTAGGGATTAATCTAGAAATAATTAATCCCTTTATAAAACATTTAAGGATAATCATATTGCATATTTGATTTTCGAACTGTGAAAAAAATACTTAAAAGCAAAATACTGAATAAGCCTCCTCCTGTGGATTAAAACATCTGGGTTCACTACCTGCACTTTATCTGCAGCGTGGAAACCACGTGTACGCGTTCCGCCCACCGCTGTGAGTGATCGCGCGACTGTCCAATCACCTCGCAGGGACCTGTTTCGCATAAATTTCGCCGGCCAATCCGGTGTCAGTGGGCGTGTCTTCCCCTTCGGTTTTGTCCGCTTTGCTGCAGCGATTCATTTCTCCCAAAACTTTGCCCAACTTGTGCTGACTTCGCCCTCGCTTCTCCGGCAGTGATGCGTAGCTACAGGGCTCCTCCGCTTCTGCTGCCCCTTTTCCTTCTTGCTGTTGGACTGAAGGCAACAGTAGGTAAGAATGTAGCAGCTGCATTTCTTCGTTAAAACCGTCCTGTCTGCAGTGTAGTAACACTTCTCTGCGTGTTAACGGGTTTGCTGCACAAGTTACAGATTTGCAGGAGCCCCTTCTGCAGCACCCTTCTAATGCACAGCGTCTGCATGGACTGACTCCAGTTCTCATGAAGAGCTTTGTTTATGCAGTACTTTTATGCATGCACTACAGAGACAGAACTATTTCTATCACTTCAACTCCTCTTTCCTGTATATAATAATCTCCCCTCTGCTTCCCTACACTTACTCTTACTGTCTCAATCCTCATCATTCATACTGCCTCTTATAATAATTTATACATCTATACTCAGTCCTACTGCCTCTATAATAATCCTACTGCCCTGTACTCACTGCTGGTGCCTGTACATTAATCTCCTCCTGCCTCCCTTTACTCAGTCTTATTGCCTCTAATAAATCCCCTCTGTTCCTTCTATACTCTTACTACCTCAATAATAATGCCTTCCGGCTCCCTCTCTGCTCACTCCTACTGCCCTGTACTCACAGCTCCTGCCTCTATAATAATCCTACTGCCCTGTACTCACAGCTACTGCCTCTATAATAATCCTACTACCCTGTACTCACAGCTCCTGCCTCTATAATAATCCTGCTGCCCTGTACTCACAGCTCCTGCCTCTATAATAATCCTACTACCCTGTACTCACAGCTCCTGCCTCTATAATAATCCTACTGCCCTATACTCACAGCTACTGCCTCTATAATAATCCTACTGCCCTGTACTCACTGCTGGTGCCTGTACATTAATCCCCTCCTGCCTCCCTTTACTCACTCCTACTGCCTCTATAATAAT